GACGAAGGTGTTGCGCTGGGCTATGTCATGCAATCGAAAGTGAAACTTAAGCTCGCTCCATTGCGGAGATATTCCCGCGAGAGTGCGGAAAACTTACATTTATTTATTTATTTAAAATGTGAAATGTTACCAATATACTCACGGACCACTAGGGGGCGCTCCGTGGACCACACTTTGAGAAGCACTGCTCTAAATCATCCTCCATAGATGAATACATCCTATATCAGAATATAAGAGCATGCTACATTATTAGGGAAAAACGTGTCCCTATAGTGAAGGGACGTGATTTCACTATATTCAGATCGTGACATTTAAAGACGGAAAAATACCTCCATTGTTGCTTAAGTGAAAGTTTTCATATTAATACAAATGAACAGAAACAATACTGGGCCTAAAGGCAAAAAAGTGTTCTAGTTTGAACCGCTTTTAATCAGACTAAATGTTACCAGGCTATGCTTACATATTGCAGCAATCCAATACATAGAGAAATGTTCACTAAGCTACCATCTCTGCGCATGTATTCCCTACAGAAGAACCAGTGTCTCAGTATTGTCTGGGGAAACATCAGGCAGGTGAGGATCAATGACCCCGGCTGCTTGCTGCACTACAGGCTGAGCTGTTAAAGAGCAAAATGAGATTAGACAAGAATAGATTCGATTACGCAGCACCCCAAGATGTCTCCTCGCCCACACACAGGGACATTACATTAGGTAGAGTGGATAAATATCCCATTACTCAAAGTAACTTTATCACACTTGCATCTGAAGGTGATCCGTCATTTGGTCCCTTCATTCATTTAACACCCTGTGGAATTTATGTTATTTTTTTACAGCAATTATGCTTTTTTTTTTCTGTGAATCCTGGGTATACATGTCCAAAAGGAGGCCAAAAGGCAAAAAATAGGCAATAATTACCCAAATACTAATCCACCGGTTTACTTGTTTGCATGGTTATTCAATGAACAGGATACACACATGCTAATTTAATAAGAAATCTGTGCATTTGAGTGTAAAAAAAATTCTCATTTTGCTGATAGTTTGATAACTGCTTACGTTATTTCCATATTTTAGCAAATATCATGATATAAACGTTGTATTAATTAAACAATTTAAATGTGGACAATTTCCTTATGCCTTCTTACAATGGGAAAGGGCCAATGTGTAGTATTGAGGAGGATTTATTTGTAGAAATAAACTATTATGTTTTAATTTGAGCACAGACACATAGAACTAAGAATTATGATGTTTAAGTTTGCTCAAATGTAGCTCTTCATATCTACACAGGTAGTCGGCCATGTTGTAGTGCCATGTTTCTACAGTAGCCAAGGAAGAACAAAACCAGAGACTGGCTCTAGAGAGGCAGTTTCATATTTTTTACGTAAAGGTCTAGCTTGAACTTAGCATTTTAAAGTGTATAACAAGAAACACTGTATGACTTCATACACTTTCTTTGATAAAGGTCAATTTGAGCGTCAGAGACCACCTGATTTCCTCTGTGTGTTTGGGGTTATGTGGATGTATATAATAAGCATCCACCATGAGGCTTAAGGGTCAGCTGGGCCCATTAGCCTGTTTATAACCCTATGTAATGGCTATTTATTGGTTATTGCTAGCATAAGCCTTGCCTGGCAGCCACTCATTCACTTAGCAGCTGAACTCTTAAACTATGTGAAACTGAACACGACTTCAGTCACAGTGGTGAACTTTTTTGTGGATTGACATTTACATTAACACTTCAATACAAAAAAGCACAAGTACAACAACTGAAAGCAAGTCAATTGAATTAAGTGTATACAGCACTGTGAAGCAGCATGCATCTATTATCAAGCACTTTTCTAATTAATAGCTACATGTTGAGTTTTATCTCTTGAGCAAAAATATCTACTTCTGTCCTGATCCGGCCTTTTCGAAGAGCCAAACTGACAACCCAGCACTTCTTATTTCTAGGATTACAGTTGCTTTGAAGGAAGAATATCGGCGAGAAAAATAAATGCAGCCAAAACTGTGTCCTTTCATATCTCCTTCAATCTGCCGCTGTTTGCCGAATGCAATATCTAACACGATTTTTGCCAACTTGTATTAAATGAAACTCCAGCTCGAAACCAAAGCCATGAATTATTTAGCTCGCAATTTACAAGATCTGCTTTATGATAAATATAAACCGATGCGTCAAGATGTACGACTATTTCTAATGTCCAGTATCAGATTCGGCATCACTTTGTGTTGACAAACAGTTTACTACATGTGGTGAGGGGCTTTTTCCACTTAAATGTCCAGGATAAAAGAGGACAGATGGTGCGAAAGACTTCCTTTCATATTCATTACACTGCAAAATGATGCACTGGCTATATTTATGGGCTGATATCACCTCCTCAAGCTTGATTTGACATGCCGAGAAGAGCATTGGAGTACAGTGACCTCCTCTCCTGGGAGGTGGAGAGGTGAAGACTGAAGAGACAGGCATGCAAAGTTTCTCAAGGCCTTTTATATCGTCTTACATTAAAGAACAGGTGCCTGAAGCGTGAAAAAGTTACTTATAATGGGCACAAAAATCGGAAAAACAAGACAAAGTGGGTCAAGGAAAAGACAACATTAGCTACCAAGGGATTTTTCGAGACTGGTGTTCAACCTGACTGCAGAAAAGACGGAAAGAAAGCAGGAGATGAAGGCAGGGAGGGAGAGAAGCTGGGCAAGTTGACATGTATTTTTAGGAAGATGTTTATTTGTAGGTCTGTGAAACCAACCCGGGGTGTATATCTACCAGCCTTGCCATCTCTCTCTCTCTCCCTCTCTGTCACCATCTGTTGAGGTCTCTCAGCCTGTCACTGTGCTCTGGCTCTATAGGTGGGAGACATTTTGCACTAACAGAACAAACCTGAAGATTCACTGCAAAGTAACAACTAAACATGCCTGTTAGATTGCTCTTTTCTACAGTGTAATGTACCACAACAGTGCAGATTAGTCTTTATAAAATTAGGTTAGATCAAATGAGATTAAGTTAGATTAGAGTAGATTATCCCTAATGGTGCCACCAGAAAAGATTAAAAGGGTATACATTGTTAGAAGCAGTAATATATCAGGTTGATTTTGAATTTAAAACATAATATCAGTCAGATTATTTTTACTGCTGACATTCGATCATGTGACAGATTAGATAAGGAGCATGCAATTTATAATGCAACATAACAGAGAAGAGCAGCGAAGTTTACCTTTAAAAAATACATATTGGCGTTACTATACCAGTACACAGCATTACAAGAAACAACATGGGTGCAGTCACAATGTATTTTTACAACACTCACACACTGAAGACATTGTGGCAGGAAGTGACTGTATCTAAAGGTTTATCAAAATTAATTAGAACTCTTATTGTTTCTACATATATTGTTAAAATTATCATATTTAAAATTGTTTTATTTTATAGCAAAAAATGAGTTGCACTATGTGTTTAGGATGAAGTTATAGCTTTTATTTTTATTTTGCCACCAGAAAATAACCTGTAAAATACACTGAAATGTCTTCAAAATAATGGTGAATGTTGTCAAATAACCAGTTAAGCATGTATTTCTCTCTGTTTGTGATTTTGGTGAAGTTATCATACATTTGAAGGCGTAAAATTAAATTGGGCCTTGGGTGATTTATTCAGACATGTCAGAGAGAGGAATACAGGAGATGGCAATAAAGTGTAGGAGTAACATTAAGTTCTGTAATATCTTAACCATAATATCAGGGTATAAATAGTAAGTATATTCAACTTATAAACGACAAGAAAGTATCTACCTGACCGGTATTTTCTTGAGCTCCTGGATTTCTGCAAGACGAGGATCAAAGATGGCGACCATGGCGAAAGAAACATTTGAACTACCGGTGCTGATAACTGTCTTTCTAAACTGAAACTGGCTGGTATGGTAATTTATGTGTCAGAAAAACATCTGTACAATTGATTTTTAAGTGTTTTAACCTTTGCAGGTGTTGTTTTTGTCCCAGTTTTGCGGCTGCAGACGTCAGTTGACTTTTAGCTCAGACAGCTAATTAAACGCAACTGTCGAACTCGTCCCGCACGCGGACGGGAATGGTAGTCGCCTAGGCAACTGACAATATCGGGCAAAAAAAAAGTATATTTTCACGATTTTTTTAATTTATTTTACTTGTATTACCATTGTAAAAAAAACAATAAGCGAAATCAATCAGTGACGTAAAAAATTATGACAATTTACTATATTTAGCTTTGGAAACATGTGACTAGGATACTGTTTATTCTATACATTTTATTATATTTTTGGGAAAACAGTAGTCCCATTTACCCAAAGACTGAAAATAGTATGATAGGAAAATGGGTGTTTCTCAGAAACTACAAGGAGCACTAAGTATTTGGTATCTATGAAATCATAACACTTTTATTATGAAGTGTGATTTTGAAGGTTTAGTGTTTAGCTTCCCCAAAGTATGTCTGTAGCCTACCAGATTTTAAGTAGTTAGACCTCTAAGAACAGATGTTGTGGCACTTTTCCTTATCATTCTAAATATAGTCGTTGGGCAAAATGGTTTAAATCCAAATGACAGAAGGTAAGTTTCTCTCCTTAATTCTCCAGGTTTGTTTAATGTTTTTTAAACACCCTGATTTACTTTTGTATATTTTATAGCATAAGTTATTATTCAACTGAGGGGAAAAGGCTGGGGAGGGGGGTTTTATATTTAGACGGTCTTGCAAGGCAATCGGGGGTAACTGAAAGACAACACTGAGAAAGTTCCACGGCCTAAAATATCTGCACACACAGCTCCCAGCAAGGCTGAAGTGCCAGGTGCGAGGACAGCAGATGCCCGGATTCATGTTGGGCTGTTTTAGACTTTAAACAGTTAGGCCAGTGATTCGGAAACCGATACATTTGCCATGTTAAAATGCATAAAAAGTCACTCATTAATAGTGTGAGGGAGTGGGTCAATCTGTGCGTAATTACGCACGGCAGCACAAGCAGTCGGAGCCTCCAAATCCAAACGTACCTTTCTCTGCTGCTTCTCCCAGGCGGGGTCCAGCAGCAGGTCCCTGTCCCAGTCATCCTCTTGGGTCATGTACACGGTTTCATTGTTGATCGTGTAGGAGTTGCTGTATGTCATGTGGGATTCGACAGCTGTCATCATGCCGCCTTTGTCTGGACTTCACGTCCCCCTCACTTTATGAGAAAAAAAATTAATCAGCAGTAGTCGACGCCGTTAGGGCAATAGCCACCTTGAGACGAGGGGTCTCGCTTTCGGGGGGTGAGACAGAGGTGCCGGTGCGGAGGTGGTGCTCCCACTACCAGAAAAACACTGCTGGCCTGGTGCTCCTTTCCTGGTCAAAAGTGGCACACGTGACCGCACCCCAATAAGTATGGGAACCGACAGCTTGGGTATCAGGTTCTGACCCTAAAAAGGTTTAAAAGGCGGGGTAGTCTCCTGCGGGCAGGGTGAACTGGCTCCTGAGTGGTGGGGAGGGACGTCAATAACGCCCCCTCCCAGCAGAGAGGTTTTTATGGCCTCTGCAATGCACCTGTTGCTGTTAGTGACCCTCAATTGCAAACCCTGGCCTGTGTGGTTTTAGTCTACCTCTCCTAGAAAACAGCTTCAAAGAACTTAAAGTCTCAAAAAGATGAGTTCATGTTGCTAAAAATGTTTATTCTGGAGGTATCTCCTCTGAATTTAGCCCCCTGGCGCTCCAGGCAAATAGCTCTGGGCCTGCTTTATAATGCAGCAACAGACTAAACCATCTTATTCCACAGGCTGCATGTAAATGAATTGTTTATACTGTTTATTTCCATTATTAACCATACTACAAGGTGTTCAGTCTATGAAGGAACATAATGGTATATTCTGTATTGCTTTTCTAAGTACATATTCAATAAGAATAAAAGAGATCCAGACAATTTGTATGAGAAAAGAAAGGTTTTATTAATGCATGCAGACTGAAAAACGCCTCAAAACATTTTAAGAAATACAGATCAAAAGGCATATATGCATACACAACCTTACAATATAATTTGTGTTTATATCAGGATTTGTCATTCACAGTAAACATGTTGACTCATCTAACAGTCATCAACTTAAACACTCCCATCCCATTCAACATTGTGCTGGTATACACGATTTCTTAGAAATGGGCTAATAAAGATAGCTATCCTCTCAAGGTGACACATTATACCGTCAACCCTTGATGTGTCTTTGGAAACTAGGATGATGTAGATTATAATTAATCAGACTTTTAGATGTAACTACACTAGGCTTGGTCCATTAACCTACTTGAAGGATCTTAGCTACATGGGCCTTTTTGTAGTTACTGTGCTACTACTGGGTTGAAGGAATCAGATGTGTTGTAAACATAATGCTACTGAAAGCTAATATTGATAATAACATGGACCATGGAAATAGACAGCCTCTTACACAGGCAGGGGTTGGACAAAATAACATGTACACCTTACAATGTACTGCATTGCCATCACACCCTGCAGCATTAAGAGTTTCCAATTATAATACCAAGTGTAATAAGCTTTGTAATACATGCAGGGATTATATTGATTCTTATGTCAATCCCCTGTATATGAGGTAATGGCTGAGGTATGACTACTGCATTCTAAATATAATATGAGCAGAGTCTGATACCTGTTATTCACATATGTGCTAGGAGAGCTAAAATATTCTCGGTCACATTGGTTAAACCTACTGAATCTCATGTTGCAAACTCAAAAAAAGGCAATAAGGTCTATGGGTTGTGCTCAGTGTGTTCCAGATGCACAGCTGATACCTGCTGCAGGAGAACAGAGGGAAACCTGTGGGATCCCATCAAAACAATACAGTACAGAGAAGTGCACATAGAGAGCATCTGTAGTTCTTCAGCTGTCCAAACCACAGACAGGAGGCGAGGGGGGGGGGAGCGGGTGAGGAAGTGGAAGTAAGGGAGGAGGATGCTGCAGCGAGCTGTTGGCTGTCAGTACTGTGTGTTCAGAGCAGGGGGGGGTTTAAAGAGATGCGTGGCTGCATTCACCCAAGCACGGGAAGCCCAGACTCGCAAGCACCCGGAGAGAAGCCTTTAGTGAGGATCTGGGAGGGGGGAGGATGAGGTGGAGGAAGAACACTGGAGCACCATGAGCCCTGGTGATGGAGGCCTGGGTGGGAGTCAGCTTTTTAACACCGTGACATTTTAAATATGCATTCTCATTTCCAACTCATCCAATATGACTTGAAGCTCTATGTACTTGTCTAGTTTAACACGTGGATTTCTGCTTTGTACATGCTTTTTAAGACTGACTTATGCAACGCAACTCCTTGTTTAGGTGGCAACAAAAGTATTGGATTTAGCCAACGAAAACATTGTGGTTCTCTCAAAATAATTATGTTTATACCTGGAAAAAAGGTTAGTCTATTACGTAATTTTTCGTAGTCAAGTACATAATATACTAATATAAGTCAATAATGATTGTTAGGGCTGTCCTTTTCTGAAGACATTTGTTTTCAATTGCTAATCTGTTGGTTGATTCAATTGACATATCTGGACAAATTGACTAAGGAAATCTTCGTAAACCTTGACCTAAACCATCAATTATTTTAATTAAAAAGTGGACAGCCTTCTTCCTCCCCTCCCATTGACTCTAAGCGGACTTTTCCCGCTCCTGTATGTTGCTTAACAGTCTAAATATGACTCAGATTGGTCTGAATTGGAGTCAGTAGAAAGCCTGGTGCATCTGAAGGCTGCCTACACTCTCTGGAATGCTCTCCCTGCAGAGATCCACAACATCCCCACACTTGACGCCTTCAAAAGGGCCCTCGAGTCCCATCTGTCTGCCAAGGACTTGGGTATTATGAAAGGCGCTATGGAAATCCAAGTTATTATTATTATTACACCTGAGCACAGACAAAGCATTGGTATTGGATGAGTGGGCAGTGAGACCGGGTCAGTTATTCCTGACTAGAATCTAGTGATAAAATCGGAAAACCTTGAAGTCAAAGCTGTTTTACCAGTACACCTTTCCTGGATTCTGGCCAGTATATATATATTATTGCGATCAACTATAGTCCTCCAATATCAGGAAGGTGAGGCTAAGGAACTTCTTTTGACCTCCTTCCACTACCAACTCACCCATTAATCAACTCATCTATTCATCCCTCTCCTCCTCCTTCTTCCCTCTCCTTTGTATGTTAGGCAGACAAAAGTCTACGCCCTCTTGACTCCATCTTGTAGCTGTCAGAGCAACTGCCGGACAACTCATTCAACATACTGAATTACTTTTCGGGATCGTGACACATACAGAGCACATATCCAGCTGATCCAAGAATTAGAGGGATAAAGCTGCCGTACCAGAAAAGTCCTATAGGAACCCTGAGATTGAGAATCTACAGGTCAGACTGGCCTCATACCTAGGCCTATCTTATAGGATGTTTCTGATTAGGCACACAGGCTGTGAGGGACCCAAAGGTGAGAGAAACTGAGGATGTATCACTTTAGCTGAGTGGGAGCTATTGGGAGTTAAAGTTCCCTTCCACAGCTGTGAGAAGCAAACCCAGCATTTCAAGCAAAGCGACTCGTCCAACAGTGAAGTCTCTCTGTGTGTCATGTAACTGAGTCCGGCGGGGGGGGGCGGGGGACCACACACACACACACACACACACACACTGTCCAAGGGCACGCCCAGGCCTCTATGGTAACAAAGGAGGGTGGGAGGGTTGGGTCAGGTGGGTGGTTCTGGGAAGTTGAGTCCGAGCCAGAGCCACGAAACCCAGATCCAAGGTGGCGACGGCGGTGGCGGCGGGAAAAAAAAGCGCTGTGTGTGTGAACGGCGGAGAGGAGAGGCGCATAGGGGACAGGAAGAGGGGGTGAGGAAAGGAAGGAGGGAGGGAGGGAGGGAGGGAATGGGGTCGGGGGGAGGGCGGCGAATACGGCGGTGGAGAGGATTGACTAGCGGGCAGGGGAGGGGGAAGGGTTCGTCCGCATGTGCCAAGCCTCATCAATCAATAAAACCCACATGCACACATCCATTCTCACTGTTGTAAACTCTAATCATTTGTAATTGAAATGTGATCCCTCAGTGGTGTAAGTGGATTTAATCAAGTACTATACTAACCTTTTTATTAGATAATTGGTCTTGCATTTCAATTGTTCGCTACTGTGTAATTCTACTCTAACCTTTAGTTACTTTGCAGATTTGGATTAATGATATAACCAGCTCTTAAATCAGACTTTAGTTACACCTGGAGTAAATTCACAAGCTACCCTGCAGTATACAAAGTCATTAAAACTAGCTGCACCTTTACCAGCTTTGAGAACACTTTAATGCATCAATAATTATAATCAAAACATATATATATTATTCTGAAATGGACCAATCTGCAGAATGAGTGCTTTTACTTTTGATACTTTAAGTACATTTGAATGCCAACACTTTTCTACTTTTACATGAGTAACATTTGCAATGCAGGATTTTTACCTGTAACCGAGTATACCTACACTTCTACTTTTACTTAACTACAAGATCTGAGTACTTCTCCCACCTCTGCATGCCCTTTATTTAATAGTGAATTTACTTTTGCTGTAACAATGTACACTTCCTCTCTGTGGGACAAATAAAGGAAGTACAATTTCTTAACACACACACTTTCACACTTCCCTTTATTCACTAGCTGGACAAAGGGCCATGGTGCTAGGCATGACTTCTGAAAGGAGTCCTAGCCTCACCCCGCCACCCCCCACCGATGACCCTGCCATTGCAGCAGAGGAGGATGAGTTACGGATTGGGAGGAAGGGGGAAGTGGTGATGGCGGAGGAGAGGAGGGTGAGGAAGTGTTTGGTCAAGGCACAGTCAAAGGAAGGGGCGGCAGGTGGGGGTAGAGGAGAGGTCAGTGCTTTAGAATTTTGGTTTCGTTTTTTTTTGTTGGTCATTTACCTTGGTGGTGAGGAGAGAGCGAACAAGTTCCCACTGCGGTGGCCTCGCACTAAAAGTCGTCCCCATGGCTCACGCCGCCACGCTCACACAGGTTTGCACGCTGGCCGCTCCACTTGGGCCGGTGACCTAATTCAGTTGAGATAGTTAGTTCAAAGCTGGACTTTCGCGGCGCTTTTAAATTCTTTTTTTTTGTTGTTGTAGTTGTTGCGGCAGAGTTACAGATTATCACAC